TTATTCCCTGACCAGTACCAGTAATAGTCTTAATATTTGATTTGACCTAACCACTTCACTTAAATACCGTCCAATACACCGCTGCAACACAGCGCGCACTACGCACAGAAATTCCAGAACGCTCAAATCTTTTCACAACACTAGAGCCAAAATACACAACCAAACGCCATGATATCGTCATCTGTGTGTAGCTGAATGGTCACTTGTTCGAAATATACGTCTTGCAACCTGGTACCACATACTTTACCCAGAATGATATGAGAAATCCTGCTCGAATTTGCCGCGAATTTCCCATGAAGCCGCTTCGTAAATGGGAGCAATGGCGGCCATATACATGAGTAATGGCGGCGCATTGCTTTCTGGGAGGAGTTGCATCTGCCTGCCCAACTCCAAGACGAGCCACGCCGGCGCCGCCGCTAAGTGACGTCACACGGGCGACTACCGTGATTGGTCAAAGGATCTAATAGCGCGGTTAGGGATTTCCGGATTGTTGGTCCCATTTACGAAGCGTTCCATGTCTCTCGTTTTGTGGCCTGTATGTTGCTTCTGGTCGCCGCTGTGTAGCGCTGACTCGATACGTTATTACTACAGCGTTACTACATCTAGCGTAAGGGGCGGGTCATCACCATGGCGATAAATAACAAGACGTTTTTGTGGAGTAATGGCTGCGTCTATGACTGGAAATGCGAGAAAAGATAGTAGAATGAAAAGAAATTTCATTGTCAATGAATGACGGAAACACGCGAGGTTTCCCGAAGCTATCGCCAGAACGAGAGACAGTTGCAGTAAACACTGATCTCGAGTCGGTTTTTGGCGAAAATACCAGATTTTCACCGATCATTATCTCAGCATAGAGGCATCGTAGGGATAAGCGGTTTGTTTTACATTAGCAAGGTAGGACAGCTGATCAATAATACCACAAATAATCGTCAAAATAAAATGGGCAAAGTTTATTAATTCGACTAATACTGCAGCATGGTTTCAGCATTTTACCGTTGTACGCTCTCCTTCTTTATACGCTCTTGATATTATATATGTTTAGTAGTGATGTCCCGATGATCGATTATAATCGAAAATCGATCGATTATAGTCTCAAATTCGATAATCGATTATGAAAACGAATAATCGATTATCAAAAATACCAAAACAAAAAAATCGCAACATGGACATGTATTGGTAGCGAAGTAGAAGTGCATCAGTGTGTAGTCCAGAGGACACCTTCATGAATCACTGTTAACATAGGTCCTGTCTGATTGCAGAGCGGTACTACTACTAGTGTACTTATAGACATGGACAAATTGGACAGTGTCTTTGTTTTGGTTTGACACTGTCCCACAGATGTTATCCATAGATGAGATTCTACTCTCCGTATTGTTTGTTACATTGTGTTGGAGAGGATATTCCATTGGCAGGACATTAACTGGCTACACAGCCTACACTATTAGAACCAAACAACTTACTTTCTATAAATAAAGAACAAGTCTTGATCAATGTTTGTTTAACAAACTTTTAATGTTTTTAATAAAGGACATTTAAAACCATTTCTTTTAAAATTGATTAAATACTGTATAGGAACAGACATTGATACACATGCATACAGCAACCTTCACAGAGTTAATACATTCATGATCATAAAACATGATAATATTGAATGCTATGTATAATTGTATATACAAAGTAAGATTAAATTAAATCTATGCTATTATTAACCGATTATCCGATTATAATCGATTATCGATCGGTTAAGGGAAACCAATAATCGATTATGAAATTCCAGCCGATTCCCATCACTAATGTTTAGTATTGGAATCCCCTATGTGTCTGTGGTCATTAGTTATTTTTAGCACAATCGCTACAATATAGCCCCCAGGCTCTGAATTATGATTGTACCATATGTATTGCTTTATGTAGCGTCACAAACTTGTTGCATTGGTAAGTTACGAGGATATTTGCTGCTATGTGCCTTCCTTACATAATATCGACTGACCAGTAAGCTGAACAGTTAGCAGAGATCTGCATCTGGTATCATTATTTTTTCTGTACAATACATTGCTTCACATCTTTGTTACCATTTGTATTTCTATCAGTACCATTGACATCGATTTGAAGCTAGTGATCGGCGATACTCACAAGCGTGACGTGTGTATGATGGAGTCCAATCAAGCATCTTCACTACTTGAGCATAAACTGGATGCCGACACCTTCATCTGTGGATTGTGCAAGGATCAGTTTCATGACTATAACGTGTTCATTGAACACAAACGTCTCCATACTGCAGGTGAGATTAACGTAAAGTTCTGGTTGGTTTGGTTTTGGCTGAAAATTTTCATCACATTGCACAGTGAATTGAACATGTATTGAATTGTAGACACTGTTTGTAAGAGTAGTTTTTTTAATATTTGACCGTTTCTGCTGTGTTGGACTTAGATTAAGAAGTACAATATTATTTTTGTTTACATGAGATTATATTCTAATATCCCGTCTCTAGAGCGTGAATTTTTTTTCTTCAGTTGTCTGAAATGTGTGGTGAAATACTATAGTATGCTTGCCAAGTTCTTATATTGTGTGCTCTTCTTTATTAACAGGAAGTGGAAATAAACTAGGTGTTTCCAAGCAGCTGGTTGTAGAATCACCTAGCATGCATAATACAAGAAAGAGGAAAACAGCACAGTGTCTGACCACTTCAAAACCATCTAAAACACATGTAGATTCAACTGCAGATGAAATGGAGTGCTCTACTAGAAAAGTTAGAAAGCATACATCTGATCTGCTGACTAAAACATCCGATCGAAACACATCAGTCAGTGTGAAAGTAAAGCGTGAACGTTTCGAGGATCATAAAATAGGCAACCAGCCCAATTTCACTGTTTCTGCAAAAAGCGAAACAAGAACTGTTCCCTCAAACCCACAGTGTGTCCACACACTACATACACGCAAGAGCACCCGTCTCATTGCGAGGCAGCACCGTAAAGCCAAGAAAGCATCGTTCGAGCCAGACGTGCACGAGAAGTCGGGTGCAAGGAATGTAGCCACCGCTTGTTCCACAAGAACGGGTGTACACGTTCTAAAACCAGAGAGTGATTTAACACGAGATCAGGTGGATGTCCGCTCACAACCTATTCACGTTAGCGATGACGGAGTGGTACATGAGAAACTAGTTGCTACCGCCATGAAGACCCATCATGGGCTCAGCCGAATTACAACACGGCAAATTACAGCTAAGAAAGCTGTGTCACCTACTGATTCAACACGTAAGTCGCTATGAACTGAAATAAACAGATAAAATATGGACTAAGCACGTTAGCCCCGAACTATTATGGAGCTAATTACAGTCTGTTGCAAAATACACGCACTGCCTCGGACTAAGCACCGACCGCTAATGTACTGTCTATTAACAATTATCTAATCTCGAAAGTCTGTAGTTATTACATTCCTAGTACATGGATTTCCCCGGCTCCAGCGTCCCAGCCAAATGCCAGCAACGGGAGCTTTTAAAGCAGCCAAATGTTAACAGGTGCTGATACTCTAGATAGCTATTTACCATCATCTGCTGCCGCAATGGACCTGTCGAATCATGTCCCAGAAGTCAAGGCTGGGCGCAGGCACACGGCGTCTGGAACAAATTGTCTAGCAGTGTGGAGCCAGGCAACAAGCTGCTGGCGTGCGGCTGCCATGCTAGTGGGGAAATCCACACACTATGAACATAATAATCACATAATAACCACAGACTCTCGAGATTAGAAAATTGTTAATAGGCAGTCTGTTAGCAGTCCGTGCTTAGTCCGAGGCAGTCCGTGTATTTTGCAACCGACTGTAACTAGCTCTATAATAGTCTGTGGCTCTCCACGCGCTTTGCACCATTTACATGTTAGTCCGTGCTTTATCCATTTGTTCAGTTCATAGCGAGTGCACAAGCAAAATTTGACTTTATTCTTCTGTCTGATTTGAATTTGTCAGTTTTGTCGAGAAATGTTGGTTATTGTGGCTCTACATTACGTTATAGTATATGTTTGTAAAAGCTGCCTCAACTTATGGATGCTAATGTGTGATTTCAGGCCAAGGTATCAGTAATGCAAGTACTCAGACAAATTCTTGTGTTGAGAAAACTGAAAATGGTCAGCCCAAATCGCCGTGTTTTCGCAGCCAGGTATTACACATTATTACATGTCATGAGGTATTCAGAGCATGGTTCTCCCTAGGTATTTCAGATCACATGCGAGGCAATCGGGCAACTCAGCCCCAATCGTTTATTGAAGACAACCACGTGTGTTGTAAGTGGCCCCAATATGACGGTAAATTTGATAGTTTGTAAGACGTTTACGTCAGGCTGTGAAAAAACAGCATGGCAGTGTTGGTATTGTTAAAAATAAACAGAGCTGGAAATTAACTCTTGTTACTTTGGCAAGCAAGGCACGTCCGAGGATTTATAGGATGTTGTGAATTAGCTTTAAGTTTGAAGGCAACACTCGTTAAAGGCCTGGGGAGAACTCTGTAGAGGTTATTATGTAAAAGAACAAACTGCCAGATGTTTGGGGATATTGATTAATACTGTAACTAGAGATTTTTTTAACCAATCTACATCATCAAATGCAGACGTTAATTGTATACATCTTGAGGAAAATGATCGAACAACTGCATGAGTGCATCTGACTAATATTTGTTGATGAGTTTTTAGCACATATGAAGACGTTCGTTTCTTACAGATTACGGTGTATATGAAAGCTGGCATTTACACATACCAGTGTGATAAGTGTAAGGAGATCTTTGACACCTACATTATTCTGCGACGTCATCAGCGTAGACCTGTTAAGATAGAAGAGGCTACTGTCCAGGAACTGGGTAAAACTACGGTTCAAATCTGATATCTAGCCAGTCTCGATTTTACATTTTGCTTTTTATCTGTAGTAACGTTTTTTCAGCTATGCATTTTTGCTGCTTGGTCACTATAGCAGTTCATTGGACAGCGTGTGGTGCAAGGATCTTTGCTTTGTACTGTGTAACTGATTCTTGGTGTTATGATTAGCAGTTTTGCATGCTTTGATTATTAGTGAAGTGGTTCGTGTCAAGCATGCATACCATATGACATTATATTATTATGACATTAATATTAAACAAATAAAAGTAACCTAAATAAGTCCGTACGTATATATATGTATATGATGCACGCGTCCGTACTTTAATCTAGTGTCATTGTTTTCTTGTGCAGAATCGATACCTGGTGATATGGTGAAAAGGGATAGCAATAGAAACATCACAGGCAAGAAGGGGCAAATAGTTACGTTTATTCGAGATACAGATAAGCCACGACGAGGTAAGTACGTTATTAGAAACTTGTATTTCACCTGTAAACTGTTGTATTTATTGCTTTGGTAAAAGTATCACGTACTTTGCAAAAATGTACATGAGCACTATGTGGTGTAGGTGATTTAAAGCTCTACCTTTGGCATGTTGAGAGGGCTTCAGTTGTAAGGTGTAATTAATGGTGATAACAACAAAATTGCCTCTAGTCTGCAATAATAGCTGGCCCATATTTTAGCTAACCATAGTCACTAGTAATATAAACATTATATGGTTTCGTGTACAGTGTTCATATTTGATATTAAGGGGTGTCTAACTCTAGCTTTGTATGCATAATGCATAACTAATTGTGACAGTATTTGAACTCATGTGCTTACTCCTTGAGAAAATTTCTTTGAAATTATATTTATTAATTCATTTTAGATAAAATGTATATACATGTATATTGAAAAGTCGTTCGTGAACAGCAACATTGTCAATTCTCAGCTGCAACAGATAGCATTTACATGCAATAATTCTTAGCGTATTTTCAGGTAGGAGGCCGAAGTTTATACCAAACGTCACCATATGTCATGGCAGCAAGACAGCTTTGTGCTTGGCTGATGGAACCTTTCAGTGTCAGCAATGTAAGGTCACTTTGAAGACTTTACAGGAAATGGAAGAGCATTGCAGTATGAGAGCTGTTAAGGATGCTACAGGCAGTACACTGAGCAGCAAGATGGGAAAATCATCTACTGTAGATACTGGAGCAGGAGGTAGGTAATGTTGAGATTGGGTGGATGCAAGTAAAACTCATAGATGAGTGAAACCAAGCTGATCAAATGAGAGATGCAAAAATCTACAAATTATTAGTGTAGTAGAAGCAAATGTGGTGCAAACAACACTTGCCAGGCGTGAATAAAAACAATAACTTGTCTCTTTATTCACGCCTGCTTTTATTACATAAGAAACCTAACAATGGAAACGATTTTGAATATAGGGTAAAGTCTTGTTAACCAGTTTGCATGTCTGTTGTCATTTGTGGCAATGATAATATATCTATAATGTATGTCTACAATATATCTGTAATTAAATATTTTGTTTTAATAAAAGATTAGATAAATTAGAGAGTCATTATTAAATTGTACAGATTATAGACACTACAAGTAACGTTCTCGCTTCTCACAATGTGCTGTAACAAAATCTATGTAAGTTATGATACCTCTTACCTCTTTTCCGTAGGTTTGTGCTATTGCTAGCTATAAACAGGCTATTTCTAACCATGTATTTACGTGTCAGCAAGTATTTTTGGCATTTGATAAGAGAGAAATTCGAACAAAGCAGCCATTTCTATTTTTGTGCTCTATATGCAGTCTCTTGTATTTCACGTGCAGATGCAGTAAGGCGTAACAAAAAAAATTGTTTGTTTCCGGTTACCCGACCGACCCTACCAAATAGTTGCCGACCCTAAACATTTTTGAACACTTTTAAAAATGAAAATCAACAAATGCATCGATTGGACCTTTAATATAAATTTAAGATGAATTTATTACGAAGCATAACACTGCACATTGCGGCATACAGCCAATTAACTCACCTCTATAAAAGTAGGAAATGTACGAACATCGCGCGATGTCTGCCTGCCAGCTTGCCTGATAGCCGCTTGCTACAGTTTTTGCGTATTAAAAGGTCACGCACGTTACCTACAGTGCGCACATGCTATGCAGCATTGATCTCTACTATACTAACTAGTACTACGTAAACTAGTTACGTTACTAATAACTACTCTACGTATAGTTAGTAGAGATCAGTGCTATGCAGGCGTGTTGGCGGCGGCGTGTTGGCGTGTTGGCGCGTTAGAACAGTGGGCCTTGAAAACAGAGAGAGAGCGGGCCTTAACAACAGGCGTGATGAGCGAATGTTCGGCGTCACTCGCGTTTGAACGAACTGCCGGCGACGTCGGCCGGTGCGCGCGCGGCGAGCTCAGGAACTGTCTTGCAGCCTAAGTCATACTTGAATTATACGCCGTGGCGTTGACTTTTGTGGGCAGTGTTAAATTAGTAGCCGTTCACTGGGTTTGTCTAATTTCAGGCCGTACAAGGAGATAATTTCATATTTATCACGGTGGTTTTGTGTTATACATTCAGCATGGTAACTCGTGTTGTGACGTCACTGTCCCTGTGAAGAAGATGGTGGAGGGAAGAGAGAGGAGAAGGTGATGGAGAGGTGAGGGAAGGCTGGTGGGAAGGAGGAAGGGAGAAGGGAGAAGGTGGTGAGAAGAGGAGAGGAGAAGCGGTGGAGAGGAGGAAGGGGAGAGGAGAAGGTGGTGGAGAAGAGGAGGGGAAGCTGGTGGAGAAAGAGAGGGGAGCCGCTGGTGGATGGAGGAGGGGAGAAGAGAGAATGTGGTGGAGGGAGGGAGGAAGAACTAGTGGAGAAGAGAGGGGAGAAACTGGTGGAGGAGAAAGGGGAGAAGGGAAGGGTGGTGGAGGAGGAGGAGGGGAGAAGTGGTGGCAGAAGGAGGAGGGGAAGCTGGTGGGGATGAAGAAGGGAGAAGGGAGAAGCTGGTGGGAGGAGTAGGGTGGTGGAGAAGGGGTGTGGAGGTGGTGGAGAAGGGCACTCCTGTCACCTTCTCCACAATCTCCTTCTCACCACTCACAGCTTCTCTCTCCTCTCCACAGCTTATCCTCCTCCACCTTCTCTTTTACCGCTACTCCTTCCCCAGCTTATCGCTCTTCTCCGCGATTCCTTGATTGGTTTAAACCACGTGACAAATACTGCAACTTAATTACTGTACGGTGATATAGACAACCCGTTCACTTCGATGCGAGCAGAACAAACATGCTTCCGCGCACATGCATGGCTTACTTTGATATGCGGATCACATCCACGAGAGAGGAGATGGCACAGTCCTACTCTAACGGCTAAATGAGGTGTTTGAGGAAGAGGGAGGTGGCTCAAGAATCGAGTTATTACATGCTTACGAAGACAAGCCTGGATGGCGTCTCGACGCATTTAACTGTACTACTCTTTGTGCGGCTTGCTGTAAAGAAGGCGAAAGGCATAGTGTATGCCGCTTCGGAAAAGAATAAAATAAAGTTGACAAGACATTGAACGAACTATCACCAATGTAATGACAGTACATATAAAGTGGAATGTCAGAACGAACAGTTCCGGGAATGACTTTTTATATCGGTGCGATAATGTTTGGCTACTTCGGGGTTAATGGTGGATGAAAGTGACATCATAAACTGTCTTTGTGCAAAATGTATTTTTCATTGTTCAGTTATACGTTTGTATTAATAATATTGAATGGTAACTGCTGACTGACATTTTATTGCTAGAACCAGAATGAACATAGACTTTACTAGATATTTACTGTCGACTGTGGAATGGGGGTCTATAGTATGGTTTATTGTTGATTCGACATGTTTCAGGAAATGTTTTCAGCAATTATTCAGAACTTTGAGAACATTTCAGTGTTGAGTACACTTGAATTCCTCAGCAGTTTTTCACTGTCAGATATTCAAGTGATTGAGAATTGTTATGAAAATTTGTGGAAGGTAATCTCGAACCCACGCAGAAAATATAATCTGAATTTAAACAGTACAAATCGGCAACAAAAAAAAAACAATGCATACATATTTCTAAATAACTTTTATATTTGTATCTAAAAAATCTACATAGGATTAAACTCGAATAATAGTGTAAAACATTCAAGACAAATGACACTAACTAATGGTACGGGGACAGTTCACAGCGTACCTAACGTCAACGACACAACCACACAACACGCGTCAGTGTAGCGAAGGATACTTGCCGGAGTAAAGGTAGCGAACGGGTACCAGCCTACACTACAACATGCGGCAATTGCACTGAAGTAAGACAAAATGAGTCCTAAAATTTTTCAGCAAAATAAAATTTTTTACCTGCCTGCCTACCCTAGTTTGAAAAATCATGTAATAGGAAACAAACAATTTTTTATGTTAGGCCTAATGCAAGTACTGTATGTAGTTTGCCAACTTTCAAAAATAACTGCTTTCCTAATTGTCTGGCTATGACGTGTATATGCTGAGGTAAATAATAGTTAAGAAGTGCACTGTCCATGTTAATACACTTGCAACATATAACTAGTTGGGTCAAATGTGTTAATATAATTGTTTAATTTACAAACCTCAGAGTTTGTTTTCGTATCGAAGGGTATCAGGCTACCACAACGTAAAACAGTCGTAGGTCCTGGTTGGGCTAGAATCATAGCATCATCAAAATAATTAATTTTCTGCATTTCAGGCGATCAGGTTGGCAGCAAAGGCACGCTGCAGGCACCACATGAAACACATGATGCTGGTAACAGCACGGATGGCACATTACAGAGACCACATGAAACACCTGATGCTGGTAACAGCAAGGATGGCACATTGCAGGGATCACATGAAACACCTGATGCTGGTAACAGCAAGGATGGCACATTGCAGGGATCACATGAAACACCTGATGCTGGTAACAGCAAGGATGGCACATTGCAGGGATCACATGAAACACCTGATGCTGGTAACAGCACGGATGGTGCATTGCAGGCACCGCCTGAAATAAATCATGTTAATCAATCGACGAATGAACACGATACTAACGCCGACAGCTCAGGAAGCGAAAGCCCAAATTTCTCGGTCGACTCCGACTGCATCGAGGTCATACCAGTCTTCGACACCCAGGAGGAAGAGGACGAGTTTCAGGACTACTGCAACAGCGTTGATCTGTCGGTGGTCGACGGCCTGTTCGTGAGAGAACTAGTGGAGCAGACCGGCGAAACAGCGGCAACGCGGCGCAGCCGCCCGCGGGACCTCGTGCTCTACCGCTGCAGCGTCTGCAGCAAGTTTCTCAGCTGTCGTAAGAAGGCACGCGAGCACTGCGTGCACCACGCTGACCTCTCTCCGTTCGTCTGCCCGCGTTGCGGCGATCAGTTCAAGCTGAAGTCGAACCTGACGGTGCACATGCGCTACCACACAGGCAACATGTTCAAATGCAGCGCCTGCCCAGCAGAATTCGCGCGCAAGGACATCCTGCGCAATCACCTCACGTCGATGCACGTCGCCGACGGGCTCGACTGTCGGCTCTGCGGGCGTGTAATGAGATCGCTGCCCACACTGCGCAATCACGTCAAAATCAAGCACCCAGGCGCAGCCGGCCGGCAGTACATAGCATCGCTGCGCAAGAACGAGCGCAGTAGTCCCTTCGTGCTGCACCAGTGCCAGTTCTGCAGCCGCTACTTCAAGAAGGCGAGTGAGCTCGACAAGCATCTCGTGCAACACGACGCGAACATGAGGTACCGCTTCGCGTGCAAACTTTGTGACAACGTCTCAACAGACGCCGCGTCACTGCGCAAGCACTGTAGGATGCACAGCCTCGTATACGCTTGCGCCGAGTGCGACGGCAAGTGCGTGAGCACACTCGCGCTCATGGAACATTTGACACAACATTCCCGTGACAAAGAGCGGGTGGAATCCTTGTTTCGCGAGAGCATTAACTGCAGTTTCTACCTTCCGGACAGGTACATCGTCAATGAAGATATGAAAACCACGGCCGTAACTGACATTATTAATCAGCTCGACATAGAATCCAATTGGCTTGATGATTTTCTTAAGCATGGTGCCACTAGTCCTAATGTGCCACCCAGTCCTGGTACTATTCTAATAGAACAAGCTTGTGAAAAAGCGTCATCAACCCCTCCCAGATTGTCAACGGCATTACAGTCGCTAGACAATGGACAGGCAGACGTTGGGAACGTCCATGGTTCGGGATCTGTTACAGAGCTAAAGGCTGCTATGAATGCTGAAAATGAAAATGTGGATGATGACGATGTCGCGACCAATGTCGGATACAAGGCGTGCAGTAACGACTGGCTCTCGCAATATAGAAAGCTTAATGCTGGGCTGCTGCTGCTGATCAGAGACTTGTACGGGCCTCTGGAATGTGAATTTTGCGGTATTCTGTTCTGCGATGAGCCGCATTTCCACATTCACGTGCAACGTCACGAGAAGTCTTCCTTGAAGTGCCATTTTCCCGAGTGTAAATTCGTAACCCCGAGCAAGATGAGCTTGAAATTACACGTCGAGTCGGCACACGTCAAGAAGTCGTTCTCCTGCGTAAAGTGTGACCACGAGGCGAAGGGCCGCGTGGCGCTGTGGCGTCACTGCAAGGCCACGCACGTCAACGCCATGTGCTGCCACATATGCAAGCAGCAGTTTGCAGACCACGAGTTGCTGAAGAGCCACTTCGAGGAGGAGCACGTGGACAACGACAGGAGGTTTACGAGCCGCGTCGTCGGCCGGCACCACGTGTGCGAGACGTGCGGCAAGGTGTTCACGCGAACGAACGACCTGAAGCGTCACGAGTTCTGGCACAAGGGCGTGAAGCCGATCAAGTGCACGAAGGCGAATTGCCACTTCTCGTGCCGCAGCAAGTCGCACCTCAGCGAACACGTGCGCGTCAAGCACGCGAATACGACGCACCTCTGCCACCTGTGCGGCGTCAAGTACAAGAGCCAGCGCTGCCTCGCCGCGCACGTGAGCGTGCACGAGACGGGCGCCGCGTACGCGTGCGCGCACTGCGCCTACACGGGCGCCACCGAGGAGCGGCTCAAGCAGCATCTGGAGACGCACAAGCTGCGCGTCTTCCGCTGCCGGCTGTGCGCCTACGTCGTCACGACGAAGGTGAGCATCACGAAGCACTACAAGGAAGTGCACCCGGGCGCCGAGCGCGACCCGGAGGTTGTGCCCGTCGAGTCGATCGAGGAGAAGAGGATCTACAAGCGCGGCGCGGCGACGGTCTCCCCGCCGCTGCGCCGGAGACCCCCGCGCGACGAAGAGGAGGAGTGCGAGGAGCTGCAGGAGGAAGCCGGCTCGGTCGAGGGCCGGGAGGAAGGGGAGCTGTTGTGCGGCGAGCTGCAGCTGCTGAACAAGCTGACGAGCGGCGCGGGGCTGATGCCCGGTCAGGTGCTGCACTGCCAGTACGACGCCGACGGCAGCATCCAACTGATCGTCGCCGACGGCGCGCTGGAGGAAGACGGACGCTACGTGGTCGCCGAGCAGCAGCAGCAGGAGGAGGAGGAGGAGACTCATGGCAACGGGATGCAGGACGTGTTTGATGCTCAGCACATCATCACCGTCAAGGAGGAGCCGGCTCCGCTCGACGAACCCATGATAATCGTCTTCGATGGGTCGTCGGAAAATCAGGAGCAGCTGCTGCAGCAGGTGGTTGACGGGCGCTTGTCGCTTATCGGGGAGGACCAGCTGGCGTGTCTCGAAGCACAGGTACCTACGGCCGGTAGCCACGAGACGATAGTCACCTACGTAGATCAGTCCGCAGAGTGCATTTTCGAGAGCGCCGAAATTTCGGCGGACGAGCAGAGTTCGATCGATAGAACGCAGACCGCAGTACAAGTTCTAGAGCAATTGATGTCTCTAACGCCTAGTGCTGCTGCCTCATCACAAATTTCTAAATGAAGAGCGTAGTGACAGTGGTTACATTTTACGTGTAAGGATGCGCAATGGTTCTTGCATTTTCTCGTATTAATGCAAGGTCTTGTTGACATTTAACGTGTCAATGTTGTTTGTAGTAAGGGTTTGTATGTAACATTGCGGTAAGATAATACGAGCTAGTGATCAGTATGTAGATTCGTATTCAGATTTTATTCATTTTAACGTTTGCGAGCTCCGTAGATATACGTAAAATGTAGATTGAGAGGTTGCTCGATAGTTTGTTGGACAGACTAACAGTAAATGTAAGTATTTTCTCGCTTGTTACCACTTCCGAGACGATTGCCTTGAGCTCTCAAGCCATGCGGCCGTGTGAATATCTAATACAGATAGTCTACTGGTAATTCTAGTTAGGGAAGCTCACAGGTCTATACATAATTACATGAGTGAATAAAAACAAACTGATTTTTTATTAACTCCTGATAATTTATAAATGACGGCTTCTAAACTCGTGATACTAAACGTACACTTGCCAGTGAGAGTTTTCCAAAGGAATGCATGGGTCTTGTCTTCAAAAACCTAACCTCTCGAAATGAAATAAATGTAATATACATGAAAATGTAACCAGTTGTCAACAAGTCAGGATGGTCAGCAGCCAGTTAGAAAGCATCTTGCCTTCACAAGAAACACGCAGACCTGCAGTGTATATGAAATATGCGTGTTCTTGCAATCGCGTCCAAAGTACTCTAGGTACAGTGGTACTAATTCTTATTTTGAGCTCCCTTTACTGCGTTATCTCATATAATAATCACTATATTATAATGCCTATGCTTGTACTGGGGTGTGAGAGGATTGGTGATAACCTACTTCTTTTAGCTGAAATATTTTCTATAGGAACTCGTATCTAATCACATAATGATATTCAATGGGAATAAATAATTCATGTCACGGAATTTTGCGGTAAAACGGTTTTTTTTCGGAAGCTAATACTTCTGTGAATCAAGGTGTACTCACTTGAAATTTACACGTGACAACGTGAAATTTACGAACGCGTGCGCGCGAGTACGTGCGTGCGTGCGTGCACATGTTTATTTTTGTGTAAGATGTCTTGCACGTGCTTTAGATTTCTCTAGAAGGTATACATGGCTCATTTGCATATACTTTGCATCCTGTGAAGTGGTTTATCTAGTAGTTTATACTAGTGAGCCACATTAAAGTTATGGAAATATTTTCAGGTTTTTGAGCAAATAAATATGCTTACAATAAGGATGAAAGTAGTTTTGCTAGTTTCCGGCTGCAATGCTTTATCAGACACTTTCAGCATAGTTGGCAAGTTATGATTGCTAGTTTACACGAGGTACATCTTGAGCGAGAGCCGTGATGTCGCAGCTATGTGTCGGCTAGTACGCCAACGGTTGGCGCAGCAGAGGGCACTGCCGTCGCGACTTCTGATCACGGATCTGTATAATTATATAATAACATAATAAATTATTGTTAGATAACATATATATACATGGTTATTATCAAGAGCTAATAATACGGTATTATTATAAGGTATTATTACCTCTTGTTATTATACACGGCTCAGTTCTCCTGACGCTGTCAGCACAACCAGAGCCGTAGCTGGAATTTATATCTCTGCATGAGCACAAGCAGCTGTAGCAAGTGGAGTTGTGGGTGTCCAACGAAAACAGAATGTAACATAAGAACGTCGATGGACATATCAAATTATTTTTAAGTTTAAGATCGTGCCCCAGAAACGTGTAAACATTAATATAAGATGGTGCAGCCAGGTAGCCAAAGACGAGCATACACCCGCAGCCACGTGCACTCGCGAGAGACAGTCGACCCCCCCCCCGGAACGGTCACAACACACCGCACCCGCGTTTCTGTTACAACCGATTCACATTGACGTAATTAAATTACTGTATATAAATCTAATACACAAAAGATGCGTCGCGCCACACTTGTCTTGCCGGCTGAAAGGTGCGATAGGATATGTTTACTAGGCACCTCTAATTTTAACATATATTTTACGATATATTAAAGAATGATGCGAAAACCCTAAAAAGTGCCCTAACCCTAACCCTAACCCTAACCCTAACCCTAACCCTAACCCTAACCCTAACCCTGACCCTAATTAAATTTAAAATATATATTAAAATTAGAAGTGCCTAGTAAACATATCCTATCGCACCTTTCAGCCGGCTGCACATTGCCTCGTGTGAACGCTAAATACCGTATTTCGACGTATTTTATCGGCAGTTGGTGCGCATTGCATTGTTTATTTCGCATTGTTCGCTTGATTGTTACTAAAGCAACTCTCTTTAATTAAGCAGCTCGCAACTCGCAAATACGGCATTTCTGGAGCCGCGAATCAGACTACTATAATTATACAAAAGATACGGCACGTCACACTTGTTACGTGCCTAACAACGTCTTGCCGTGGCTTACGGTGTTAGGCACACAGCTGCCCAGTTTACACTTAAAACAAAGCGATATACTGTCAATTCGGTATTTCGATCGCGATGCAAAAACCGGGATTTGGATCCCGCTAATTCGCGCCAGTGTGAACGCGCCTTATTATGTTTACCCTTTTTTCACAGAACGATGCCCTCGTCGCAAATTCGGACTCCTGACCGAACTATACTAGTATTTCTAAATCTACTACGAGGTTAACGACAATAATTAACGACAAGCTAGGTTCACGGTGCTTATTAGAAATTAGACTTGTTGGCAATAAGCATTTTAAAATCGTAGCAATTAATTACTCTCAATCTTGCGTAGGCCTATTCTTTTATTTTTGTGCATCTTTACGCACTATTATGTATTTTTGCGTATCGCGCGCGCGTGCGTGCATGCGTGTGTAGTGTGTGCGTGCGTGCGTGCGTGTGTGTGTGTGTGTGTGTGTGTGTGCGCGCGTGTATACGTATAATCTCTTAATTACACCATGGAGTGTCTTTTTATTGTGTTCCAAATTTATTGGCGCCCATGTTCGCTATGACGCATTGGAGCATGTATAGAGCCTACCTAATCAATATTGTATATTGTATATAAATAATATAACGCCGTGCACTTGTTTGTTGATAATATGATATTAATCTGTAGATCTCTCCACAATCCATTTTTCATAGGTCTGATACGAAATGCTTTGTTGTGATTTTATATACGTATCTCGTCATAATCCATTCACGTTGGCTGTGCCGTTATAAAATCACGATCTGAATAATTACGGGAGAATGACTAATATGAAGTATATTATGTTCTTTGGATTGTGAAATGGTTAATTATGGTTGTTGATGACTTATCATATTGTAGAGGGGTTTTTCGACAGGCAAGGATGGTCGGGGGCGTACGTAGTTTATAATATAGGCAGGTTTATTCTATACTAGCTGCGGGTACCCGCTGCGCTGGGTAAAATCGTGCTACTAATTCATACTACTATACTAATAATGGGACACAGTAGGAACATTGGGTAAACATCGACAATGACATTGCACCCAATATCAATATTTAGAAATCGGTCTAATAAGATAATATTAATAAGCATGGGGAAAAACTGTTACGTATGACATTTATATGACAGCACAACCCAACTTAGAACACCTGAGACATAATATTAATAGTAATATGGCTCATAGGTCTATGTCCCCCAGGTATACCGGAACGTACCCTGGTGGCTATTTGATATGGTTAGGGTTAGGGTTTGGGTTTGGGGTTAGGGATAGGCGTAGCGACTCCTAGACTCGTTAGTGGAGTAGGCGAGGTACCGGTCGGCATATAAGATAGTAACAGGGTACGTTTCGGTATACCCCCCCGTACCAGGGTACGTTCGCCGCAGTATCCCGGGGGTGGGGGGGGGGCAGCAGACCTCTCAGCAGTAATATGGAGTAAATGACAAAAAGCTATTGTTATATAACAGCATGTACGAATGGGTTGGACTTTTCGTTTCAAAGACTTGATAAACAATGTTTTCGTGTTATTCTCTGGTGCAAATATGTAGAGATTCGTGGCGTATCGAACTGTTAAGCTCCGCCCCCGCTACAGCTATCCATTTGTGAGATCGTACGCCGAAATAAAAGAAATTGGCATATCATAGTAAGATAGAGAACAGGGCCAGCCGAGGGCGTTCTGTGTCACTGGATATTGTGTAGTGAATTGCTTGGCGTCAAACCATGTGACATTGAAATTTAAGAAATTTTTGTATTGAATCAGAAAATGCATAGCGCTTTGGAATGTGGTAGCGAATGCATTCTGCAGCATCGTAGCATGTGAACGGCAAACTGTGAAAACTGAGAGTGAGTAGTACCGTCTGACTGCCGTGTTATGCTCTGTTTTAGTTTCGATTCGGTTTCGTTTCACAATACCAGCAGCTGATGAGATCATGAGGTGAGGGCAAGAAATCAATAGGCATATGGCTTGTGCTTACATTGTGTGAAGATTGCCGAATTGAGGGGTTTTTTTTCACGGATTTTTCGGCGGAGTTGACGTTAGACAGGTTTTTTCAGCTACGAACACGCCCGCGGTATAAGAGATGGCCTGTGAAAAATTGCCGCATCGCAGCATCGCTTGGCCGTTTGGGCCGCCTATAGGGAAGATACATGACAGATAATCATACGAACTCAAATATATATTAGACTAGCTGCGGGTACCCGCTGCCGGCTGGGTAGAAATCGTGCTACTAATTCAATACTACTAATAATTGGTCACAATAGGACATGGGTAAAAATCGACAATATATAACATTGCACACAATATCATATTTAGAAATCAGTGCTGTACTAAGATAATAAGGCATGGGGAAAAAACTGTTAGCGTAATGACATTTATATGACAAAAAAAAAAAAAAAAAAAAAAAAAAAAAAAAAAACAAAAAAAAAAAAAAAAAAAAGCATGAACCCAACTTAAGAACCCCTGGAACATAATAGTAGGCCTAATATGGTGCAAATGAGAAAAGTTATTATAACAGCATGTACGAATGGGTTGGAGTTTTCATTTGAAACCTCTTGATACACAATGGTTTGCGTGTTATTGTGTGGTGGAAATATGTGAGATTGCTGGCGTCTCGAACTGTTGAGCTCACCACGTCAGCTATCCATTGTCAGTTCGTAGGATGAATAAACGAAATTGGGTTATATAGTATAGATAGAGACAGGCCAGCGAGTGGGGTCTGTGTCCATTGGATATTGTCTAGTGAATGCTTGGCGCGCAACCATGCACATTGAATGAAGAATTTTTCTTACTGAATCAGAAAGGCATAGCTTTCGAATGGTACAATGGATTGTGAAATCGTAGCATGAATAAAAAAAAGTCGATATATAGTATACAGACAGGCCAGCGAGTGGGGAAATTTGTAATTCAAAAGAATGTTTACTCACTTGGTAGCGGCGTCTTTATGCGTTGATGTTTTGAGCAATGTAACCTCTCAACTATATAATACTCATACTAAACTATAGTGAATCTCTATAAATATTTTTAGAATCAGTGTAATCATATAATAGCCATGGTAAAAAACGGTTACGTATGCCATTTATATGACAGCACAATCCACGTAGAACCCTGGAACATAATAGTAATATGGTGTAAATAAGAAAAAGTTATTGTAACAGCATGTACGAATGGGTTGCACTTCTCATTTCAAAGCCTCTTGATAAAAGCAATGCAGTCGTAACCACAGGCACTTGAAGCGTTCAACTGTAAACACACGCCACCGCCATTGCGCGCAAACTGACACATAAATATATCCTGGTTGTGCTCTGTTTTAGTACCGGTTTCGGTTTCCAAGTATACCAGCAGCCGATGAGATGAGGGAATCGATTTTTCTTCTGTGGCAGCACTGTACAGTGAGTGCTGACATGTGTGAGATTGACGAATTGAGGGTTTTTCACGATTTTTCGGGGTTTGACGGTTTGCAGGTTTTTTTCAGCTACGAACACTCCCCGGGTATAAGAGATGGCCCTGTGAAAATTGCATCCAGATCGCTTGGCGGTTGGCCGCCTATAGGGAAGATACATCACGATACATAGATAGATACATACATACGAACTCAAATATATATTAGATACGTTACGTCATACAAAAACTCAACTTGCAGTGGTCGCCGAGAGCGTACTCTCCCTTCTCCGCTCTCTTTCGCTCGCTTAATTCTTCTCGTTCTCTTCTACCCCACCCTCTGCCCTTTTGTCTTTTCTCCTTATACAGAGGAGGCTTCCCTCTTAGACCTCTGCGTGGTCACATGCTGCTCTCGCTCAATCACAGGCCCTAGCTGT